GAAAAAAAAAAAACCAGTTTAATTCGTCAACTATACAAAATTCGATTTTGGATACATTTGAACACCGGAGCAACATGCAATAAAAAATTGAAAAAAAAAAAAATCACAAGTCGTAGTTTAATATTCCTAACGCCTTTCATTTTTCGCTGTGGCTTTATAAAAAAAATAAAAAAAAAAGCGAAAGTATTTTAAATACTTATATTCTTATATTATACTTTCCGCAAAAGGCGCTACACGACCTCCGGAGTTATTGTAACACTCAATAGCTGGTTTTGTCTACGGCAAATAATAATTATTAGTATATATTTTTTTTTTTCACAGAACACAATATAATTTTATGTTTACGATACATATAATAATATACTGTTATCGTTTTTTTATTATTATTTTTTTTTTCATTCCATGTTTGTCGTATACTTACCGAGTTACGTGTACGGTGAACTGCAACCGAGTTACAAAAACAATACTAATAATATTATTCAATCCTTTCCCGGCAAATCACTAACTAAGAACGTTGTGTACAACGAACCTTTCCACGACGACAAGTATCGCGGCAACAACGAACCCATTATGAGCCGGTCTATCGTTAATTTCGTCATGGTATTTGTGTCGATAGTATTATACAGGTCGATTCAATATGTTTGTTACAGACAGAAAAAAATGTGTACGATACAAACGTTTTTCGATTTATAACAACGTTTATACTAATATTTGTACAATTTTTTTTTACTGTCTTTTTTGGATGCGACTTTTGGGGTCTAAACTAAAAATTGGAATATCTCGTCTACGGGATGATGGAGTATATGTTCGGTGTATACTTAGCTCGGACCGAAAGCAGTTGTCTTAAAAATGATAAGAAAAAACGAAAAATGTGTAAATTATTCCACAAAATAATTCAATATCAGTTTGTGTGTCAGCCTGTACTAAAATGTATTTATTCGCTTTATCATCGACGCAAGTTAAATAACTTCTCTGACCTTGAATATATTAATATTGTTAAGTCAATAACTTTATATCGTTATTATTGTAGGTACATATCTGACTAACTATTACTAATAAGGCACTATAAACATGCCCTGCAGTGTCCTATACAACCCGACTTCTGAGAACTCTGTATCTAATGATTTTGATTTCAAAGGCATACAAGTCTTATATTCAATTTATTGAAATTAGTATTATACAACGCCAATCAATACGAATTATACAAATACATACAAATGGTAGCATAAAATAACATTATCATTATGGTAACGGTCTACGAATTTCAGGTTTAAGTGTTGGTCATTCAATGATTTGATAAACATTTTTTTTTTTCTTTTATTACATGTAAGCTCACTATAATAAGCTACAACAAGCTCACTTAGCACACCCTTAAAATCTACTGTCCAATTGTTTTTTTTTAAAAAAAAAATTATTATACGGATTTAAATGAATGTTTAGCAAAATTAAAAAAAAAAGGATTAAAATTATCTACAATTATCACGTGTGTTGACGACATTTCGTAAAAGCAAATTACTATACATATATATGTACGTACGGTGTGAAATGTCCGGTCATAGTTATCGGCATTCGGCGTTGTCGATTGTTTTAGGAAAACGTGTTGGATTAGCCAAGGGAACATTTAAACCAGTTAACGTAAACTGAAATTGGATCACAACGGCGTTGTTTTCAATCAGTGCGGTTTACAGAACTTAAATGGCTGGAGTACATATAGTCGTGAATAAGACGCAGCGTTTTGTATTTACTGCTGTGCATTTAATCTAAGACAGGTAGACATTGACGTTGAATTATCGCGATCGAAAAACTTTAGACTACACGAAAACTCCAACGAAAATTGTTTTCGGTATAAAAACCACTGTGCATCCTGCGCCAACCAAATCGATATTGGAAATAAATCGCCCGTATCATAGTTTATGGAAGCTGGACTGTTATGGGAGCGCGACCAAAAATAAAAGTCCAGCTCCGCCCTATACTAGCTCGGTGGAGTGGCGAGTCTATCGACTTGTTCTTTTTCGTTTACAGGGTGTTTAGAAGGGCGACAGTTTTATTGTGGGCATTAATTTACTCAGGTCCGGGGCTGTGATGAGTGGTGGGCGAAAATAAGTGGGACAGGGGGGGGGGGCGCAATAAAACTATTTTGCCCCCGGGGCAAAATGCGTATTGTACGCGACCCTGTGCGGTACGTTTATTTCGCATTGCATGATCTACCGTACGCGAATCGATGTACATGCACAGGAATAGTGGCTATAATATTGCAATCGTAGCGCTAATCAAAAAAAAAAAAAAAAAAATTATGTTGCCATATAACGTTTTTTTTCTTTACTAAAATACGTCTCTCTCGGTTTTTTCTCTCTCTTTTTCTGGTGTCTATGGAAAAAAAAACAAAACAATACAAGTGCCTATACGTTGCTACAAACATAGTTTGGATTCCAAATAATCGACGCGGAACATCAAATATTATTTAATTTTTTTTTTGTTCTCGTTCTCGTCGTCACTTGCATAGTACACAACACACAAGATGTACCGCGATCCGGACAGATTAATGCAATTCTGCTATGCGATAATGGGTAAGGATTGTAGCGTCCATCGTAATTATACACTAATAATATTATCGTAATAATAACATACACAATAGTGAAGCGGAGGCGCGGATGCACGATGGGGGGGGGATTGGGGCGATCGTCCCTCCCCAGTTTTTTTTAAAAAAAAAAACGATTACCGACTGTTATTATTTTATTGTTAACGAAAAATACTTAAATATTACGTTTTACATAAAATAGAAAAATTTACTTTGTCTCATAGTTTCTAAATAAATAATTAGTCATTTTTAAATTTCGGCCTTTTTTTTTAAAATTTTTTATCCGATTCTTATTATTCTGATTATCTGATTGCGTATCACCGGAAATAATAAATTATCAAAATTCGCAAAATATGTTGGGAAACAGCAGAACACACGTTATCTTATTTGTATTTCATAAAACCAAGAGCTGAAGTGTTCAGCCTAATCATCCTATCTGCCTGTAAACAGGTATTTCACAAGACCGGCGATATCATCATTTCGATATTCTAGTATACAAGTTGAACTGGTTAAAATTTCGCCAATAACAGATTATTCGTAAATATTAAAATTCCACATACTATAACATTGCAAATTATTTTGTAATTAGAAAAAACTTTTAGTACGAAAATTGTTTTTAAAATAAATGCTCCGTCCGAATCTGTGGGATGATTATGGTGTCGCCGTTTAAAAAAAAAGTAAGTTGTATTGCGCATGGCCCTACAGAAAGGGTTTAAGATTCGTCTGAAAATGTGTGTCTGGGCACTACCTATCATTCTCCGAAAAATCTATTTCGATACTAGGTGAACCAACTGAAATATTTAGTGGTACCGCTTGGCGCGAACGCATTGTATATGTCTGTAACATAAAAAATATTTAATTATCACCGCTAGAGACTCACGGCTGTATAAAAAATGTTTCGGGCGGACAAGAATTTTACTGTCTCGCGATAATCTAATATAAAAATGTTGCAAAAATTTCGTACGACCCTACCAGGATTCGAACCTGGAATCTCCTGATTCGTAGTCAGACGCGTTATCCGTTGCGCCACAGGGCCGATGTTGTTACTGTGGTAGTTTGTTTTAATTATACCTACTTTTCTGTCGCCAATAACATCGAGTTTTAGTATTTTAGGCAAACAATAACGATTTTTTATCGACTATAATGTATTAGTACTTAATATTATACATCGGGATAGCGTTTGATTAGTAATTATTGTTTATAAAAAATTTAACTGTAGTGACACAAATCGAAAAGATTAAGGACGGGTATACTACCGTAGTAGGTTGGAAATTTAGAAGTTTGGAAAGATAGAAAACGTACATTTATTTAATTTATGCCCCGAAAGAAATGATAAACCATTGCTGACGAAATACGATTCTGAGTAAAGTTCCGTTACACGTGTTTAGAATACATGCCGTAATATTTACGATTTTCGTCAACATTTGATATTAAAAAGATTACGCTAAACATTTTTTTTTACCACTAAGTACAAATCATAATCAACCCGTGTTAAATTTTCAAGCATTTCTGTTTTGTCAGATAATTTTATCTTCATAGTACCTACCTTTCTTTGATTTGTAAAAAAACTAGAAAATGTAAAATAGCCTGTAAACAGCTCAGAATATTTTGAAGACAACATAATTTTTTTCAAGTCTCTACGAATATTTTTTTAACCGAATTCAAATAAAAAAATGAAATTAAAGATATCATTACTTCCGTAAACTTTCTTCAAATTCTTTCTACTTGTTTTCCCGAGATTCCTCAATTATTAACGACATTGCACGGAAATTCAAAAAAAATAAAAATAAAATACGTCCTGAAGACCATCTACTCGTAGATCCAAAGGTCTCTGGTCATTTTTCGATTGACGTTATTATATTTCTGTTCGAAAAGTTGTTGACAGAAGAAAACGATCGTTACGCTCAGAATCTAAAATCTGAATCTCCCCAACGGCCTAACGTACCGTCATCGGTGTCTATGCGTGGAAATATATTGCAATGAAAACCCTCGGTGATATTTTTTTAATTGGCGCAGTATACTATTTTGGTCAAAACCGTGAAAAAGAAAGAAAAAGTTAATGAAAAAAAAAAATTCAAGAATTTAAGATATATTGGGTTGTGTTCGATGTACAATAGTAAGTAATGACAAACAATTGCTAACGAAAACCGATTCTGTGTAAAGTCTGTTGACGTTGAAATGTAATTTTTAAAAATTTGATCCCTAAACGCTTAAAAAAAAAAAACAAACTAATATATTGCATTCGAATTGTTTTTTAAACCACAGAGTACAATTTATAATAAACTTCGCGTTAAATTTTCATAAAATTTCTGTCGGGTCAAACAATATTGTATCGCCGTGACACCTCCCGTTTCCCAAATCGAAACTAAACAAAATTCGAAAACGTCAAACGCCTGTAAATTGCTCAAAAAATAGCCATATAATGATACGCATTTTTATTATATGTTGTCATACAGCCAGTCTGAGCGGTGTGGTTGTCGGCACGACGTTCGGCTGGAACTCGCCAGTGGCCTGGCTGACGATGAGGCAAAACGAGTTGAGCGATCCGCATACCATCGTTGTGTACATGGCCGGGTGCTTCTTGTTGGGTACGGTGTTAGGCGGGATGCTGCAAGGCCGACTGACCAGTTTCATCGGGTACAGATGGTCGGCGTTTGTGTACGACAGTGTCGTATTGGTCGGATGGCTGATTCTCACCCAGGTGCATTGCTTGTCCGGCGGACCCCGGGAGGACGACAGTTGCTATCCCGTCATCGGGTCCTCGTGGGTCGTCTTGACCGGCCGACTGGTCCACGGGTTCGGAACCGGCGGTCTCGGCCTGTTAACCCCCACGTATATATGCCATATCACAGATTTCGTCATAAGAGGTAACCGCATAACGTGTTGTCTAACAACCTATCCTTCCGACATCGTCGGGTCACTGTTTTCCTTATCCCTTCTACACGAATTCATTCCGCGGCGTGAGTATCTGACAGTCCAATACCGATTTAAGTTGTCACCTACACCCCGTCTTCCTATTTCCAACGTCATTTCGGTACTTATCATTGCACTTCAGCCCAACCCCAAATCACCTCTAGCCACTTTTTTCATTGCAAGACTGCTCTGGCGAATCTTCAGTAATCTCACTCGTCTCCTTGAATATCTGCCATCGTTTCTGGTTCCACTTGCCCATACCATGCCCGGCCTATGGTATCTGTAATTGTCTCCGCTACAGGTATTCAGTGCTCAAATTGGATAACCGTTGTTTGGCCGATTAGATGCTATTAATTGACACAATATTTACAGGTCGAGTACAAATGTTTCATCAAGCATTCGTGTGTTTTGGCATACTATTTGCGTACGATTTTGGCCACGTCATAAATTATCAGATGTTAATCGGTCTGTGCATAATATGGCCGTTTTTACATATGTTCATTGCAATAACATACCTGCCTGAATCGCCATATCACCTCTTCCGACGGCACTCAAAAAGTTCTACGAAGGTAAAGAAAGTACTGCGACAAATAAAAGGCAAGGATTATGACGTAGACTCGGATTACATCGAAGTTCAAGTATTTTTGAATTCAATAAAAATAACGTCCATACGAACAATATTTTATGCCGATATACGTGTATTGATATTGATTTTCGTGTTTAGGAGTACATGGAAATGGTATGCGATACAAACCAATGTTGTGCACGGAGTTTCTTCATCGGTCTAGGACTCGTCGTGTTCCAGCAGACGTGCGGTGTCAATCCTCTTTTGTTCCATATAGAAGAGATCTTCGGTGAACTTTGCTATATCTCGACGTACCCCGTAAAATTGTTTATAATCTGCATCTACGCAATACAAGTGGGTAGTTTAAAAATGTCTGACACGTCCACGCGACTAGCATTTATATAATATTGGTAATGCGAAACACTAATACCCGCGCGTTTCACGTATGCCGCAGGTCTTGCAATGCATGATCGCTGTCGAACTAGTCGAATTTTTGGGTCGTAAGTTTATGTTGATAGTCTCGGCTTTGGGTATGAGCTTAAGCTTGTTAGCGTTGGTGCTGGTGAACATGTATTCGCCGAGTTATTTCGATCGCGAAGAGAAGATAAACCTCTCCCTAGGTCTCATATTCCTGTACATATGTTCGTATTCCGTTGGATGGGGTCCGGTCGTCATATTGGTTTATACCGAGATCATTCATTGCGACGTGAGTATTTGTAAAAATTATTACACCGAGACTGTGCCTATATACACGGTATAGGCACAGCTTCGCCATTATTGTATAATATAAAGGCAAGCTGATTTATTGCTGCACCCGTACCAAAATGTCCTTAGAAAACCCGTTCACTGTTCAATAATATCGTCGATTTTATTAAACACTATCTGGTTCATCGCCAAGACGTAACAACGGCCCGATAGTGCCTTGCACCTCCGGTAGTGGCGGCGACGAATATGCATAGTGTTTCTCGGGGATGCGACAAATGCAATGACTTTTGCTTTGTTACTTTAAACATTTAAATTGTTCGTAATGACAATTACTAGAGCAGTAGAGCCTTGCGCTTTTTATTTATTAATACTTGTATACTATTTGAAAGTGATTGGTTTTATTTTTTTATTTCAATGAAATTTCACTACACTATTCGCAACTCCGTAAAATAGTCAGGTACTATAGATACCGATGTATCATAGATCTATGGATAGATCATCTTTCCCGTTTGAAAGAGATACTTTACGAGGGTGAGCCGAGTTGGTTTCTGTTTAATATCTATGTTTACACAATAAACACAATAAATGTAGTACATTTTTAAACTATTATTTAACTTTTATCATACTACGGTGGGTATTTTACAGTTATCGAGGTAACAAAATAATATTATATTGGCGTATTGTCAAAGTACCTCAATCACTTAAGGCTATATGTATGCACAATATAAATACAGAAATGTTTCCAGCATAAAATCTAAGTAATTCTGAGTTGGCGATCCTGAGCCTGTTAGAATGAAAAGGGAAATGTGCGTATTTGACTATCTTACTGCGAGCAGTGGGAACCGATTCGACCAGTAGTGACAATACATGACAAATTTAAATGGGAATCAATTCGGTTAACCATCATAAAATACTTTAATTCAAACGGAAACCGCGATTCAGCCAAATGGGAAGTAATTCGGATATGCCCACAGAAAGATCGTAGATTTTATAGTAACTACAGACTACCCTACTCACTCGACACCGTTGTTTCCTCTGTCTAGGATCCATTTCCAAGTTAACAGCGGTGTAGTATGCACAGTACATAGGTCACAACATAGGTTAGCATCAGCCTGACTAATATCATTTTATATTTTACAATTCGTACCCAACGGATAAAAAAAAAAAAATAAAAAACAACTGAAATATTTTCGATGTATGCGTGCCATAGAAATGGTTTTCGAGTTTTATTTACGGCGTTGGGCAGTTCATCATGTTGTTTCTGGTGATTTTCGATGCACAGGCCCTGCAAACGAACGAAATAAATAAAACGATATGGCCATGGCTATTTATCGCGTCGTGTGTTGGTAGTATCGCATTTGTCTATTGCTCCGTGCCGGAAACCAGAGCGCTGGAACTGAATCGGATACGAATTCTGAACAATTTCTAAAATAAAAACAAACGGAACGATGCGAGGAATTTTCAATAAAAATCATTGATTCAAAAAAAAAAAAAAAGTGAACAGAATTTTTTATTTATTTACGACGGCAAAATTGTTGACATGGAGAAGCAAATGTATAAACAGGGAAACAAAACGTATTGGTACGTATAATAAGTTATTGATAAATTATAATGTTAAAAGTAGGGGTGATGCGCAATGATTTTATCGCCGCAGCACAGAAGTAATAACGGCCTGAATGCATTTCTTTTTGGCAAATCTGAAAATATTTTGCTTACCGAATCACGACAGGAAATATGCACAAATAACAACGACTTTTCGAGACAAGTGAAAACCAATATATGTAACCATTACTACAATATAATTATGTAAACATCTTTCTGGTTACACACTATTTTTTACTGGTGGTACTTTAAGGGGATTTTAATTTTTCGAGCAGTTTTTATAATAACGTAGGAAAAATGGAAAAAATTAGGAAATGTATTATTTTTTTGTTATAATTAGATAATGGATTTATATGTACTTGAAATTCACAAAAAAAGCTCTTAAAAACGTAATAAAGGCCTAAAAAGTCGGTTAAAAAATATTTTAAAGAACAATACAGACAGAGGAGTTTAAAAGGTACCCCGTTTATTGTTTCTAATTTATAAAAAATAATTTTTTAACTAAAAAATGATTATTACAAAGTAATTTTTTTCAAATTTATTTGCACGTGTTAAAAAAAGAAAAAAATGCTTTGTGTTAATCATCTGTCAATGTTAGACAATTTTATTTAGTAGGGTTAGAACCATTATAGTGGGAGCTTTAAAATCCATTTACCATTTTAGCTTTTTTTTAATAATTATGTGTGCTTTTTTTGACGATTTAAGTACATTTTTGTGAATTTCAATTACACATAAATCCGTTCCCTCAGTTATGATTCAGAAAAAAATATTCGAAGAGACTTAAAATATTGATAAATAAAAATATATTTGCCTTTTACAGCCGTGGTAAAATTTTCAAAACATTTTAGCCATTATAGATTCTGAGTGGAGCAAAGTAGCTTATGGTTTTTGAGCTAATTATTGACATTATAATTTTGCTTAATTTTATTATGAAAACAACTGGAAAAATCACTATAAAACCCAATACATATTGAACCGCTAAATTCAATACATATTTCTTGAACCGCTTAGAATCTAAATATGAGTTTAATGTAGAATTTTTTCTTATACAATTTTTAACGAGAATCATAAATATTACAGATCTTCAAAAAACGTGTAACTGAACTTCGCTCAGAATCTTTTTTGTTAGTAATGATTATTCATTTCATACATATATACATCATAAATTCTCCTCTATATTCTACCTTCCCAGCTTCTCGCCTATAAGAGTGTCCCACACATACTACGACTTATAAATGGAACCTCTTTTAAATTTTCGAACATTTCTTTTTGGTCTAACAATTTTATCCACAGAGTATCTACCGAATAAAAACTATGTAAAAATATTCGCAAAATAAAAATGCCTATAAATATTTCAAAAATGGCTAAAATGTTTTGAAAATTTTGCCACGTCTACAAACGGCAAATATAATAGTTTCGTCGAAATTTCAGACCTCTACGAAGATGACCGTATTTTTTTCCTTTTTATCTTTCTGTGTGCTATTTGTCTTTACTAAGGAGAAAGACGATCAAGACGACTAGCGGAAGATCAAACGTCGACGGGAAAATAATTTCGTTTGGGTCGGAATCAGCCGTCCAACCGTGGCGGCACAGTCGTACGCGGACACTGACCGTTTGCACCCGACGGCCACGGTTAACGCGTCTGACGGACAACGTACCAACAAGAAACACCCGTCCACGAACTTCCCTGTGCTTCACCGTCCAGATTGACCGTCCGAAAACATGACAATAAGTGCACATCACTGTACAGGGTGTCCTACAAAGATTCGACAAACGCAATACATTTTTTTTTTTTTATATTTTATTGAATTTTTGACGTGTCAATTTTTGAACGGTTTCAATACCGTCGAAAAATACATCTTGTCATCATTATTTTATGCCATTTACAACCTCGTGTTCATATTATAATAATTAATATTAAATTCGACCGTTCCTCCGTACTAAGTTTACGAAATAAAAATGTTAAAATCGTAATATTTGTATTATAATTTTTATTTATAAAACATTTCTTTGTTCAATAATTACTTTTATAACAAGTGATGGACTTTAACGTTGTTGAAATTAAGACACAGTTAGGTACCCGTAATTATTTCAAATAAATCAAGTGAAAAACGCGCCTTATTAAGTAACTTTACTAGAAGAAACCATAAAGTTAATTCGAGAGTTATGCCCTGCATTTAAGCGAGCGTGTCATCGCTACGGTTTGCAAGTCCATTATACCATAGATAACATGGAATTCACTGCATCGAATGGATTCGAATTTAAAAAATGAACGTCTTACCAACAGTAATTTATAAAAATTGCAGAGAGTGCTCACTCATTAGTATGGAAAAGGGAAATGGTTCTAAATCAATAAGGGGTGCTATACCTATAGCCTTCCAACTTGACTCATCGATAAAAATGTATAATACAATTAATTTATGCAGTTTAGTTTAAATAATTATTTTTAATACCTACTACAAGTCATGAAAGACGTTGGTATACAAAAAAAAAATTCAATTAAATAAATGTAAGTATAGCTAAATTTCATTAAACATTTCTAATTGATATGGAAAAAAAAATTAAAAAAATTATAACTACGAGGAATCGAGAGCAATTTATTACAATGATAATCAGCTATTGTGTATTTCGATTGATGAGAATTGTCGAGAAACCGAAATATTTGTATCCCTTGACTATAAAATCAAATAAAAAACTCAAGAAAAAAAATGCTCTACGATATCTAACGGCTATGAAAAGCTGGAAAATCGGTAGAACGTATAGGGAAAATCGTACATCACGTCTAAAAAAAAAAAACGTTATGTTAAAGTATTCGGTGAAAATTGCGCAGGTATCTTCGACTATTTCTATAACTGGAATACGTCGACAAAACAACATCGAAAATAACCGCGGAAACCATGTTTCGCGTACGTTTTTCCGGGGTTTGCGCGCTATCGAGAAAATTACAACGGAAAGAGTAAAATAAAACGAATTACCTCGTCGGTGCACCGCGGCGACTGTACAGACGAAATCCGCTACCGGAAACCATGCTCGAATAGTTTGCGATCGGAGCAAGATTTCCGGTGTACCGTGGCGCAAGACCAACGATAGTAACATACGTTCCTATAGCGGCGCGATCAGAATTTCAGAAAAATTATCCGCGTACAGTTATTTTTACGGTGCACGCCTATTGCACGTCTATTGGTTATCGTCGTATCCTCGAACCGAATGTATAGCCGTATTTCATCGCGCCGCGGAATATTTTAACCGGCCGCGCGTCTTGTGAAACGATACGAAAAGAAATTTAGGAAAGAAAAAAAACCGTTCTCCCGCGGAAAATGATAAATACGCGAGCGTGACACGACGTACATTGTCGGCACGAAAATTACTGTCATTGCGCGCGCGTATATCGAGCCAACAGTACGTCGTATCAAAAAAAAAAAAAAACCCCAACACTATAATGCGTACAAAGATAAATATTGTCGTTGTCAAAAACGTTCCGCGACGCGCATACAGCGTGCATCAGGACCAGTGCGCACGCGCGAAATTCGAACGGTCGCAAATATATCGTCAACGACGTTATCATTGTTTTTTCGGCGTTAACGATATTATCGCGCATCAGGTCGTGGCCCGCCTACGTGTCGTTCCACCGTACGGTAGCCGCGCGGATAACGAGGAGAGAGAGGAAAAAATTTAACGAAACACCGACGGCCGTCGGGCCGTCGGGCAGGCGGACGATTCGGCGACAAGTGAAAGCGGCGGCCGCGGCGAACGACACCCGGTGTGTGGTGACGTTATCGATAACGTTGTAATACGTGTGCAGTTCCGCAATTAACGGCGCGTTCCGGTGACGGGGGAAAAAAACCGGGGAAAACGAGAAACCCCCCCCCCCTCTACCCATTACAAAAAATACGATCGAGTCGCCACGCGTGTTTAATATATGACCGCCGAACGGTTTATAACCGCGACGCGCGTCGAATGCGCGGCGGACCCGACCGAGTCGCAATATCGCCAACCACGGTACCTGCACACGGGTACCGTACGGAAAATCGGATCTGACGCAATCGTGTGACGCGGAAACACCGGAGACGCCGGGAGGAAATCGACATCAGCCGAATGTCAAGGGCGCGTTTCGCCGCGTTTTCAAATTTGATGAGAAAACTCAGAAAAGGCGCTACGCTTAGAAGTCCCGAGCAAGTCTTCTGGCAGGAAATTTGTGATGAAAAAAAAAAAAAAAACGTCTTTGTAAAACCGTAAGCTTCTTCGTCCCACTTAGAATTTAATATCGGCTTACGGATGAAATCAATTGATTCCGGTGGACAGGCGATTTCATATTAAACGTTTACAGGCGCGCGTTCACAGAGGGATTGAGGGTGCAGTCATATTCTCCCCCCCCCCCCCCCCCCGTTGATCTTTTTTAATTTAATTTTTTATTAACTATACTCGTTTATTCTTTATGGATTTCCTGTAATTACTCGTATTGTATCGTAATAACAGGTGTATTGTTTACCGACAGTATAAATTGTACCGATTTTCCCGTACACAAAAAAAAAATGTTTAACGATCTCATGCCAACAGGTATATTCGGATTCTCTCTGCTCCCCGTCAACGTCCACGTGAAAACGTCGAGCACGCCACTGAACAAATGAGTACCCGCGTGCTGTAGACATTTTATTATCGTGTGGAATATAATAATGCGGGAAAGGACGTGGAATCTGCACGACACGAGAGTAGGAACGAGAACCGTGGAAGTAAAGAGCTATGGACACGACGGAAGCATGGACGACGAGGAGTGGGTGTGAAACCTGATAGGCCTTTTGACCGTGGGGCGATAACAGTAACAGTGCG